TTCCATGTAGATCTGCAACTGTTTTTCATTTGCTTAAAAATATGCTCAGCATCATCTCAGTGTATTTCAAGAGTTTAATTCACTGAGTAACACTTTAATTTGCCACCATCCCTCAATAAGTAGCTGTCTTTATGTACGAGGGTCATTGTTCTGTGTCCCTACTTGCAGAGGCAATGGCTATTCCCAAGCCTATGTGACAGAGAGAGAGGTTTCATACAAGCATCCAGTTGATTCATGTGAACTAGATCTGCAGAATGGTTACTGTTACCTAACAGGCTGTGAGAGTTGGTAAAACACAAAAATTTATATATTTACATACCTCTGTTCAACTGGTGTGTCAGCCATGCATAAAAACTTTACTAATACTGAAAAAATGAGTCTTCTCTAATGCAACTTTTTGCAGCCTGCAATTCTAAGCATGGAAATCTGGCTTCCTAGGCCAGGCATGGTAGAGATGTGAGCTTAGCTGATGAACGCCATGCCAGTCTATGTGCAGCCACAGCTTAGTTACTGATCTGTTAGAGCAAACATGTATACATCAGCCCAGTCTCCTCAGCATCTGTATCATCTCAATGACATGAACAACTTCTGCACCATAGGAACTACTGAATACACTTACAACATTCCCTTGCCTGTTCTTCAAAAAATCAGGCAGCAGTGCGTTCCTGTTCACACCCCAGCTATGGCATCACCAGTTGCTTTTTATAGCTACAGGTAATAATTGGTGTGTGGTGTCAGTGCACCCCTCTGAAATGTCTTCTGCTAGCTAGATAGAATTATGTCTGCAGTTCAACATCAGTGAGCCCTTGGAGATTTCAGTCTGCATGGTAGACAAAGGCAAATGATCATATTCTTCTGTTGATGCGGTTACCGAATTATGCTGGCAGCTCAGAATCAGTGACTTCACTTCTTTTTTGAAGTTGCTGTTTAGGAAACCATAGATAACAGGGTTGACACAGGTGGAAGCCATAGCTACCAGATGGCACAATGAGAAGATCAGATTGTGGTGGCAAGGCGAAATGATTTTGTAATTCCAGTCCACAATGGTGTTGAAAACATGCAATGGTAGCCAGCAAACAGCAAAAGCAGCAACCATGGAGGCTAACAGAACATTTATCCTTCTCAGCTGAACTGCTCGATTGCTGTATTCGCTCTTCTCAAACATGTCCTTTCTCTTTTGTAGGCGTAAGTAGATACGCAGGTAGCAAAGTATAATGAAGAACAGAGGGATGCAATATTGCAAGAGCAGCAAAGTGGTAGTGTAGATAAGTCTGTGTTGCTCAGAAGGCCACGAGTCGATGCATATGGCCATGTCAGTGGAAAAATTCATGATGTGTGAGAGCTGCTCATACAAATCATTAGACAAAATGGATGTGGTCAGAAAGGGCAGGGACATGAGACATGCTAAAGTCCAAATTACTCCAATTCCTAGATAGGCTTGGGAGATACTTGGCCTCCAGCCAGTTGGGTTTATGATGAGCTGGTGTCTTTCCAGAGCAATAAGGACAAGGGAAAGAATTGACACTGTCACAGATGTGCACTGAGTGAAAGAGGTCATTTTGCACATGACTTCCCCAAATATCCAGTAGTCCATCATGGTGTAAACAACGGTGAAAGGCAGACAGACAAGACACATAAACAAGTCTGAAATTATTAAGTTGGAAATTAAGATGTTGGTGACATTGGCCTTTTCCTTCTGCCTGGCAATGACAGCAATCAGGCAGATATTTCCCACAATGCCTAGGACAGTCTCCAAGCTGTAAGACGTGGCCAGAAAAACAGTAAGGTCAGTGATGTTCCTGCACTGATTGGAAATGTATGTGGGGAAGCTTCGGTTTGAGCTCCAGTTCTTACTGTTCAGGAAAGGAAAACCGTCGTTAACAGCCCTTGTCTTATTCATCCTGAAATTCATCCCAAAATGTTTATCCAAAAAGGTGATAGTCAAACAGAATCTGGGTCTTCTGGAGACAGCCAAAAAAACGTTTTATCTGTTCTGTTTGGCAGTGGAAGATCTGGGTATATCTGCAAAGAAAAGGAAAAAAGATGGCTTAGTTTTGCTACAAGAAATTAGTCAAAAGGGTGGGGGGGCAGTGAGTCAGGGAAGCAAACACCAGGGATCCTGTGTGTCTTCTGCAGCTCCCTTTTAAATAGTTTATTAGATCATAAAATTGAAACCTTTGCTGAACTGTTGTGTGGAAGTCTGTGCAACTCCATTTAATGATGACTGTGTTTAATTGTGTCTAATTCTGGTTTTACAAGGTTCTGATGCAAAATTGAGCAGAAGACACATTACGGGGCTGCGTTTACCTTCAATTGAGCTAAACATCAATGTGAAAAGTAAGGCATATGAGGTGCTGTCCTGGTTTTGGCTGGGATAGAGTTAATTTTCTTCCTAATAGCTGACATAGTGCTGTATTTTGGATTTAGTATGAGAATAAAGTTGATAACTGATGGTTTTAGTTGTTGCTAAGTAGTTGTAGTGCTCATACTCTGTCAAGGACTTTTCAGCTTCCCATGCTCTGCCAGCGGGGAGGTGCACGCAGAGCTGGGAGGGGGCACGGCCAGGACAGCTGCCCCAGCCTGGCCAAAGGGATATTCCCCACCATATAACGTCATACCCAGTACATAAACTGGAGTTGGCTGGGCAGTGGGAATCACTGCTCGGGGACAGGCTGTTATCACCGGCTGGTGAGCAATTGTTGCGTTGTGACAAGTGCATAAAGCCAACACTAAAGTATCTTATGTGAGTTAATCTGTGAAATGCATTTGTGACTGCAGACAGAACCCACATTTGCTTGAGACATTCGCCGTGCAAAAATTCAGGCTCGTATCCTCAGGAGGGGTAACATGGAACAATTTTGAAAAAGTCTAAAGTAATTCAAAATCACTTCAACATTTTTCAGCTTCTAGACAGCTGTGGTAGGTCATGGGAACTGCAGTCCAAATTCCCTGCTTCCCCATTCTGGATGAACTCCAGTGCCCATAAAGCCAGTATGGCCATTACAGGGTTTATCAGAAATATAGTCCAGTCTTCTTATTTTGGCTTTAAGAGTGGGCGATTTTGACAACCTCTCTTAATTCCGGATGAGAAGCTTCTTACTGATTCTCCCTCAGCATAATTTTGCTTTTTTTTAACCAAGAGAATTCAAGTGTTGAAATAGTATGTGCTATCTCCTGGGTACTCTTTCTGCACAGGCAGACGAGTCTGCTGCTTAGCCACCGCTGCAAGCCCTGAGCTGGGAGTTTCAATGGGGTCTCAGGAAGCTGAACCCACAGAGTTAACTGGGGCTGCACGCTTTTGGAAATCTCAGCCATAGGACTGCCTGGACTCTACCAGATGGCTCCTGGGAGGCTGTCGTGACCTGCGATAGCAGAGCCTGCTTTATAATCCTGGCTCTGGAGTCCAAATCCTCTATGTTCAGGAACCAAAGAAAAAAAATCTGACTCTGCTGGGAGTTCTCCTAAGGCCAGAGGCAGTTACATGCTGTACAAAGGCTTGTAAAGTGAAAAGTAAATAAATACTTGGGGAATGACACTATTTACCCATTGCATGACCCTTTCCCCAGCAATAAAATGCCACTCAAACAAGTTTGTGAGGTTGTGAAAAAATTCTGAGCTTCAGAAAAACAAATGGTCAAGATATGAATGCATGAATAAAATGGTATAGTCAGCTTATCACTTTGTTTGAGTAGCATTTACTGCTGAGCAACTGCGTGCAAAAAGGTAACCAGTACTGTACAAAAAAGCATCCACCATGTTACAATTTTTTGTTTGCCTTGTCTTTCTCTTCACAAATTGTGTGATTCTAGAGATGTTGCCTCTTGGGAACTAGCAAAAGCAATAGTGTACAGTAAATAAAAAGATGTTTTGAGATTGTAGTTCTGCTTGATCAGCAAAAATGTATACAATCAATTCTTTTGTTGCTTTACCAGACCTGATTTATCTATCTGTATCTATCTCTATCTATCTGTCTTCTATCTGTATCCATCTGTCTGAGACAGTCAAGATAGTCACACGAGTAAAATATAGTAACCTTTTCTTCCTCTTGTTCTTTCATTTCCTCAGTAGCTAAATCTTAATTAAAGAGGGCAGAGGAAATTTTCCAAATTGTGGACATAGCTCTGCCCACTCACGTATTGTTACTCAACCCATGTGAACAGATGGATTTATTTTCTGGAAGTAAAAGAAGAGGCAGTGATGATGTCTGGATTGCACGGTCACGTATGGTGGCCCGTTTCAGTGTGAAAATGCACATGGAATGAAAAACCATCAACCAGTCCCTTAGCTTTTAATGGCTGCTGGCCAGTGGAGATGCTGCAAACGAAACAGATCAAAGGGATCAGCAGTCTGCAGTATTATTTGGTACCACTCAAAGGAGCTCAGTCTTGGCATTTGGACAGGACAAACAGACTCTGCTGTAAACAAACACGTGAGCTTTTTACTACAGTCCCACCCTAGTGTCCCCTTAGCTACAATATCCTCGACGACAGATGCATCGTTCTCTTTTGTTGCTTTAAAAATGTGTGCTGAGTTATTACAAACATCTGTGCCCCACAGAGAAAGCCCTTTCACGGGTCCCAGACACTTTTGGACACGCTGAGGTGTCAGTGAGGAGAGCTAATAAAGTTGAAGCAAAAAAGAAAGTAGTGGAGCTGCCTGAAAAGCAGAAGCCAGATCCCACAGCTTTAAGGGGCACGTTCCCAAGAGGAATGCCAAAGGCGGAGCACGGCTGTGTGCTTGTCATGGTGGGGATGAAGAGCATCCCTGAAGGCTCTGCAACGCATTTTGTTGTGTTAGGGGCTCCCTCTGTTTTAACACCTCGCATTCCATGGCGTTTCCCACAAGGTGACTGTCAAGCGCTTCCTGGGCATTCATTCTCATGGTACTGTCCCGAGGTAAATAAGGAATTAGCACCCTCTTATCACAGATAAGGAGACTGAGAGAGAGAGGTGGTACCTGAGTTGTCTGGTGTCTCAGAGGGACCTGTGGTGTACTATGCAGTATTTAAAACTGCCTGCCAACCTGATGTCGTGGGAAAATTCAGAGCCTGGTTCACCTAGGTGCATAGTTCTCTGTATCTCTTATTCCAGCACCCATCATGTAAAAAGCCATTCTAGAAAAATAGAAAAATAAATGTTGTGGCTGCCTTATGTATCCTTGGATGGCAGATTCTCAAGATTAGTCACTGCCAAATGCTGTGTTATCTCAAGGTGTTTGACTGCCATTCAGTTTGGTTGAAATTAAGAGCCAGTAATAAACAATGTGTACATATTCTGCTTAAACATTTAAATCAGATGTTAGCTATTATACTGAATCACCAACGCAGTGGGAACAAGGGTATTAGTCCCCTCACTGTATCAAAGGTTTGTCGATTACCCAGTAAAATATAACAAAAAATTTAAGGGCTAAAAAAACCAGCTTTTGTCTCCAGAAAGTGAAGCAATACTTACTTGGCTTGTAGGAGTAATAAGCATGCCTCCTAAATCAGTTTGCTGGAATGGGGGGAAAACCTGGATTGGTTTTGTTTGCTTGGTTTTTGTTTTTTTTTTTTTTTAATAGGAAGGAGTAATCCTGTTCAGCACCCTTAACGAACTTCAGGAAAGAGGTCAGTAACAAAAGCCAACATGCTCAAAAAGCAAGGGTTTTCTGCTCTAATTGATGCAGCATGAGATAGTTTCTCTAAAAAGTGTCACAAAATTCTGCAGCAAATTAGCAGGAAAAAGAGAAGGAGCTTTCAGATTTAATCATAGTGTAAGCTAAATTCCCCATTTACATCATGAATGTCATATAGACATTCATCACTCTCCTGTCTGTGTTGGAAGCAAGGAAGAAGAGCAGGCAAGGTTTGAAGGATTTGTCTTGCTCTGTTCAGCTTCCTAAACTAAAAAATGTCACTCAGGGTGTCTCAAAAAAAGGAAACCACTACCCCTAGTCAGCTTGAAAGCCTTGCCCCAGGGGGGCTATCCTGTGTTTTCCGGAAAAAAACTCAAAGGAAAGGGAATTCTGCAGAGATGGGTCAGGTAAGAAAATGAAACCCACTGAGGGTTTCAGGGAGACTGCTAGACAATAAGTAGCCCCAAGCAGTTCATGCATGACTGCCCTTTTGAGAGACTTCTGGACTTAAGACATCCTGTGAAAACCTCTATAAAAACACTTTTCCTGGAGGCGGGATAAAGCAAGGGACTACTACTGATGCTGCGTGCTATGTGCTCACTGGGAAAGGGTGGGTCACTCTGGCAAAGCTAATCATGATCATCCCCTCCTTGTAATCAAAAAACAATCTCCATAGTTGTGATGGACAGTGTGGATCAATTTCCACATCAGACATAAGTCAAAGAAAAAAAAACGTTTGCTGTGTTCGGCTTCATTATCTGGTGCTTAGAAGAAATTACTTATATAACTTGGAATATAAGTAGTTGCTCAAGCCATGTTTGCTGCTTCCAGTCCATGAGACTTCCTGAGAGAAGTGTTTCCTAAAGACATGAAGTGATTGTATTACTTATTTAAAGAATTGCGGCAATTATCTGGAGTATAGCAGCTATCTGCCTCATAAACTGGAAACAAAGGAGCAGTGGAAAGGTTTAACAGAACTCTGAAATTCATGTTGCAGATATTGAGGCAGTGATGACTAACAGTGGTGTCCCTTTTTGCTGGCATTGATGTTATCTCAGTAAAATAGATTTGCCCTGTTTAGCCTTACAATGGAATTTCATGGTGGACTCTTCATCTTTGTTTAACTCTGTGTTGCAAAAATATTGGGAGCAACTACCTTAGGTCACTGAAAAAGCATAATTAATTAGGGTATAGCACAAGTTGTGCGTATTAATATGTTACAAGTCTATAACATTGGGACATGGCACAAATGCCCAGGAAAGTGAATATTTTTCCCCCTCTCACATC